TGGCGTTGGCTCCCCCGTGACTCCATCAGCGGGAGGAGTAGGTGCTTCCTGAGGAGGGGCTGGGCAGGGGGTGCCAGGTGTCCACGGCCTAGACCTTGAACCTGGTCCCATGGCCAGGTAGCTCCATGTCCTTGATGCTTAACCCACTCAGCTTCTGCTGCCCCATTTGTGAATTAAGGCTAATAATACAGACCTCAGCATGGTACTGTACTTAAATGTGAAGGCACCATAGGATCAAGGCAAGAAACAGATGACACACTCAAGGGGTGCTTGGAGGAGAGTTTCAGAATGGGGCTGTTTACAAAGATGTGGGCAGGGTGTGTGGGAACCCCAGGGGACAGCACAGGACCCCACGGGTAGATATAGTGGGGCACTGTAGCTTCCCCTAGGCCTGCAGGAGTGCAGGGAGGCAGCAGTTACCAAAACCCAGAGTCAGGCAGGGCGCGAGCAGACTGCCACCTCTGCTGGGAGAGCCCACAGAGACAGCCAGAGGAGGCAGTGCCCCAGCTGCTGCCCACTGACCCAACCCAGCCCCACAGTGCGGCCCCAGAAGGCTGGAAGACAGCTCTGGAGGGGCAGGTGGAAGATTCCAGCACAGCACCTGGTATAGAAGAGGTGTCCACTATTTTCAAAGTATCCTCTTTTTAAATAATGAAATATTTAATACACAGAGAATACCTATTGTACCCACATCCATACGTAACAGCTGCTAACATTTTGCCGTGTGTGCTCTGTGTTTTTAAGTCGTACAGCATTACAGGGCGAGGGACGGTCCCTCTCACCGCGTCTGCCTCTTACTCCTTCCTCCCGACGGATACCTGCTGTCCTGATGTGTGTTAGTCTTGTGTAGGTTTCCGTGTTTTACTACATATATACTTGTGTCGAAACATATACACTATTGTGTGTTTTTTAAAAAATTTGACATAATTGGTGTCATACCATAAACATTCTTTTGCAACTTGCTCTTTCCACTTACCACATGATTTTATGACTTACCCGTATCGATACCTATAGATCCAGTTTCTTCTTTTTTTTTCTTTTCATTTCCTACTCAGTTTCCTACTTTTTTTTTTCTTTGTAGAATTTGTTGAATGAATAAACCCCAGCTCATTTGTCTGTTTCCCTACTGAGGGGCACGTAGGTTTTTCTGCTTTTTTGCCGTGACTCACAGGGCTACGTCAAGCATCCTCGTGTACTTATGTGAGAATCTCTCTAGAGCACACACCTAGAACTGGAATCGCCAGGAGAAGGCGGCCTGGCATCTTCCCTTTACTCAACATTGCTAATTGCTTTCCAAATATTCCATACTCGTATGAGCCCCAAACGAGTTCTTGTTCCCCCACATCCTGGCCAACGCGAGATAGTATCAGGTTGATTATTTATTTACAATCTGATGGGATGAAAGATATCTCATTTTTGCTCTGATTTGCATTTCCATTATTACCAGCGAGGTTAAGCATCGTGTAGTTGCAGGTCATCTGATTGTTCTCCTGTGTGAATTTCTCTTTCCCGTCTTTGCTTAGTTTCTCTGTGCGGTTTGTGTCTTTCTCACTGGCCTTTGAAGTTCTCCGTACATCTGAATGCTAATCCTTCATTGGTTGTGCGGGTGACAGATGCTTTCCCCAGTCCGGGACTCGCCTTTAACGTTGATTTTGCTATCTCGTTTGTTTGTCTGTTTTGGTACAGAAATGGTTCATTTTAACGTAGTCAGATTTATTTGTTTTCCTTTAGGGCTTATGCTTTTTCTTTCCCCCTTTCCCCAGAGTCATGAAGATTGTCTCCTATTTTTTCCCAATAGTTTTACATTTTTGCTTTTCATGTTGCTGACATTAGTCCACTTGTTTAATATAAGGTAAGACTTCAGAATATTAGCTTTTCCCACCCGGAACCCAGTGGTTTTTGCCCCCTGTACCGGAAGGCGCCTTCCTTCCCACTGATGGGGACCCTGGGCTCTTATTCACTGAAGCGTGTCTGTCCAGGTGCAGGGCGAGCCATTCGAATTGCTCCTGCTCTGCTTTGCTCTGACATAGTCGGGCCAGGCCTGCACTCTTCTTCTTTGCAATTGTCTCGGCTGCTTCGCCTCTTTACTGTCCCGTTGGGATTCTGAGATCGGCATAAATAGCAGGTCAGGCAGAGCCTTGAACGCCACATCATGGACGGTTTCAAGCAAGGAGATGGTGCGGTCAGCTTTACGTTTTCAGACACTCATGAAGCTGGGTGGGGGTTAGATTTTAGAGGATCAGATTGGAGGCAGGAAGAAGATAAAGTAGGGGGGCCCAGGCCAGTCAGTGACAAGAGAGATGGGCAGCGAGGGGGGTGTAAAACCTGGAGGCCTCGACGACTGTGGATGGCAGGTGAGAAGGGGACGTGAGAAAAGGCAAGTCACAGTCTGGGAGGAGCCAAGAATGACCATCTACTGAGTGACCTACGGTGCCTCCAGCCAAGGCCAGACACGCAGGAGAAGGAGGTGCTGAGTTCAGCGTGGCTGTGCCGAACTTGGGGTATCTCAGGAAAGGTCAGATGGAAGAATAGTGCCAAGAGATTGATATATAGGTTCAGGCTTAGAAATGACAACTGCAGTAAAGATTTAAGAGTCATCAGCATGTCCGATCACATCAAAAACTGGAGCCAAAGTGGGAGGCCTGTGCAGACAGCTCTGGCCTGGACAGCTCTGGAGTGATTGTCAGAGGATGAGGAGCTCATGGAGGAGACAGAGTGACAGCGACGGAGGAGGCACAGGGAGAAGCAGGAGAGCGTGGCATTGTGGCCGCCCAGAAAGGACAGCGTCGAGGAGTGGTCCCTAGCACTAGGCGCCAAGGGCTCTGGGGAGAAGGCTGATGAGCATTTATTGGTTTTCCAGAAAGGTCAGTGGTCATTAGGGACAGAAATCAGATTTGAGTGACTTCCTGAGCAGCAGGGCAGAGGGGCACGAGGGGGTGCGCAGACCTCTGTGGGAGGAAGCGTGACTGGCTGGAGAAGATCGGTGAAGGGCCTTGGCTTGCAGAGCAGGAGGGACTAGGCTGGGGGAGGAGCTGAGAGCAGGGGGCATGCGAGGCAGTGAATTCTGAGGAGGCAGGTAGGGCCTGAAAGGAGAGATGGGCCCTGGACAGAGAAGCCCCCGCTCCCCAGGCCTGGTGGGAAGGCCAGTGTGACTGGAGGTGCACGAAGCCATTGCAAGGGTGGCTGTGGCCAAACCCGACAACCCATTCTCTCGCCAAAGTAGAGAGTGGCGCCATTTGCAAGGCGGGGGCGCGGTCTAGGAGTTGCCAGTGCAGAGTGGGGGGCGGCTGAGGAGAGAGGTGATATTTGGGAATGCCCTTGAGGGGAACAATGAGAAAGTTGGCCAAGGCCCAATGGAGTGATTGGCAGGGGACCCTGGGGACGCTGGGAAGGGGAAGGGGAAGGCGAAGGTGCCTGTGCAGAATGGCGTCTGGAGGGAGCGCAGCACAGCAGAGGTGAGACAGCCGGGGAAGTGAGAGCGCAGCCCGCAGCAGGATTCAGAACTGGAGGTGGCGGGAGCCCCCACCTCATGACTCTTCTGAAATGCCAGGAGGGGGCGAGGCTTCCCGCAGGGCTCAGGGTGGGACATGGGTCATTATTTGGGGACATTAAAATAAGAATGACCCAAGAAGGCTGGAGGACATGGGAACTCTTAGGCCACTTTAGTCTGCAGGATCTTATGGCGGCACGTCTGGAGCTCTGGATGGGCCTCAGGCTTTACAGGCCCCCCAGGAAAGTTCCCAGCTTGGCCATGCAGTGGCCTCCTCGATGTGCTCTGCATTTGATGTCTCTGCAAGAAGTGGCTGCGCCCCTTTGTGGAAGCCCTGGCCTCCACCACCAGTGTCTGGCCCAGATGGCCGGGGCTAGGCTAACATCTAGGGTCACTGCCCCTTAAAGACCTCCTTTCCCAACCCACAGAAACTAAAGAGTGTAACAGTGGTTAGGGCCACATTCCTCAAATATAGCTGAGGATGTGGCCACACGAAGGATTCTGCCTTGGTCACTGTGTATTGTGCTCAGTGGGGTTTGTGGCCCCCAACTCCCTGGCTCTGATGACCTCCCGTTAGCCCCATGACTGGATTGAGAAGGACATGGCAATAATTGCCATAATAAAATAAGTATGAGGCCGGGCACAGTGGCTCATGCCTGTAATCCTAGCACTCTAGGAGGCAGAACTGGGAGGATCGCTTGAGGTCAGAAGTTTGAGGTTGTAGTGAGCTATGATGACGCCACTGCACTCCAGCCAGGGCGGCTAAGCAAGACTCTGTAGATAGATAGATAGATAGATAGATAGATAGATAGATAGATAGTGACCAAGCTAACCATGATGGTCTAGTAAGTGACCTCATCAACTCCTCCCAGCCACCTGCAAGGTGAGTTGAATTATTCCCACTTTTCAGATGAGGAAACTGAGGCTCAAGGAATAAGTAACATGTCCAAGGTCCCCAGATAGTAAGTGACAGACCTGGCATCTGAACCCTGTCTGCCTGGCTGTGCTCTTGCTCAGCAAATCTGCCTGTTCAGACCCTTTTTGTTGAATGAGTAGGTAGAGACCAGAAAGCGGTCGTTATAGGGGTTCAGGGTAAAGGCACGGACTTGGGGCCAGAAGGCGCACTTTGCAGTCTCAACCCTGTCACTTACCAGCTGGGTGGCCTTGGATAACACATGCCGTGGGGAAGCAGGGCCAGACTGCTGATCCTCACATGCACCCGCAGCACTCTCCCTTGGGCCAGTGGGGCTGCCCGGCCAGTGGGCACCGTGCACAGTAGGACACTGGCCATCCTCAGTGGATGGATGTCAGCCTTGGGAGTTAATTACTGTGTTGGAAGGGAAGGGTCAATATCTAATAAGTAGGAAGCCATGGGGCCACGTGTGACAGCCAGACCAGGTGCCTTACCCCAAGCCCGGTGCCTCCTCTGAGCCTCCATATCCAGCCCAACCTACACAGCCCACCCCCACCACCAGAGCCCCCATCATTGCTCTCTCTGCTCTGTTCACAGGTCCCTCTGCTGGGTCCAGTTCTGCGAGGTTCAGTCGGAGGCCCACCTGTCCTGATGCGTCCGTTGCCGGCAGCCTCCCCACACCTCCTGTACCCAGACACAGGAAGAGCCACAGCCTGGGCAACAAGTGGGTGACCGAGCAAGCCCTCCCCCAGGGCTTCAGACTGGCCTGCATGAGGGGCGTGGGTGCAATGCTGGGGAACACTTGCAGACGGGGGTGCTCACCGCCTCTGTTCTGGGAGTTGCTGGAGGCAGCTGTTGGGAGTGCTGGCCGGCGTGCTCCGCTGAGGCTGCCGTGGGCTCAGGAGGAGCTGAGGGGCACCTGCAGCAGTGCCATTAACATGCTGCTGACAGCAGCCGGTGGAGGAAGGGCAGGGAAGCAACAGTGGCATTCCTAAGAATTTGCGCAAGCCCAGTTAGTGACATATTGTTATGGAGAGCCCAAGTCCAGTGGAACCAGTGACGGTCATACAGGGCAGCGTTAGGTGTCTCATGGCACTTGCCCGCAGAGCAGTGGACCTGCTGGCTCACCCAGCCCTGTGGGGCCCACAGCAGGGGGTCATGTGTGGGTCTTTGGATGGCTGGGGGCAGCCATGCGCATGTCCCCAGGGCTTTGGACACAGGCTTCTGAGCAGTTGGGTCCAGCCATCCCTCCCCCCTCCTTCCTTCCTTTCTTCCTCCTTCCCGTCTTTCCTTCCTTCCTTCCTTCTACTAAGGCACAAGACTCTGCCCAGCCCAGGCTGGTCCTGCAGGAGCCCCAGACTAGAGGAGTGGGAGCTGCTCTCTGAGCATGCAGCCCCTCCTCTATGCCGGGCGCTCTGCACATGCCCGTCGGGCACTAGCTCACTGAGTCCCCAAGCAGGCCTCGGAGGTAGGTGCTATTACTATACACATTTTAAGAATGAGTCAATGAGGTTCAACAAGGTGAAGTCCGTTGCCATGGTGAGGAAGCGCTGGAGCAAGGACCTGGACCAGGTGTGTGTGACTCGAGAACCAGACGTGCTGGCCTCCTCACTCACAGGCACCGTCTGCCCGCTCGAGCCCGCGATCCTCAGACCCCTCCTGGGAGACAGGCAGGGCAAGTGTCGTTAGCCCCCATTTGATGGATGGAGAAACTGAGGCTCAGGGAAAGGATGTGACTTGCCCAAGGTCACGCTGTGAGAGGGCAGAGCCTGGACTGCACCGTGGCTCTGGGTGGAGGCCTTTCTCCTGCAGCTGCGCCATCTGCTCAGGCCCCCAGGCAGGTGTAACCTCTCTTACTCCGTAGATAAGGAGCTTCGCCTTCTTTCTTCCTTTCCGTTTTCCAGTATGATGTGTCAGTTGAGTGTAGTTGAGAGTAAAAGTGCGACATTCCCATCGGAGAAAGCGAGGCATCTACTGGACGACAGTGTCCTAGAGTCCCGCAGCCCCCGCAGGGGCCTCACCCTCACCTCCTCCTCTGCTGTCACCAATGGACTCTCCCTAGGTAAGCGTCTCCAGCCCGCACACGAGAGGCGGGTGGGCCATGGCCCAGCGTGTGCTCCGTGTCTGTCTCTGTGTCACTGTGCCACGCCCAGTGGCACTATCACTCTGGAGAACCCAGTGGCTCCCCCACCTCCATGCAGGAATCGCCCCAAGCCAGGGGAGCCTTCGCCTCCTAGCCTTACGGGCTTCTTAGAGAACCCCGGGTTTGTCCCCATCTTGCTGGGAGCCCCCGAGTGCGGCCGGCAGGTGGAAGAAGCAGCCAGACACATGCCTGAGACCAGCTGCCACTAAAGTCTGGCTGCTGCCATAGTTGGGCTTCTGTCCCCAGAGAGCCATGACCCCCAAGGCCCTGCAGGACAAAGCAGCAGAAGCTGCCTGGGGTCGGCAGCTGGGTGGGCCACAGGTTCTCACTCGTGTACTTGTCTTCACGCTGAGAAGCCAGAAGTAGGGAGGATGAAAAACCGACTTCAGGGATGAAATTGCAGCACTGAGAGTCAGCCAGACATGGTGCTTATGTCAGCGGAAGGGACAGAAATGGTGCTGCTGAGACCAGGATGGGGAGAAGTTGGCGTTAGGGCTAAGGCTAGTGTTGAGCTCTGGTCACAGACCTGGCCCCTCGTGGTGCCCAGGTCAGCTGAGGGCAGGTGGGCACCACTGTGTCATTACTGCCATCAGACCAGTGCATTCTCCGGTGGCCATTGCCTTTCAGTAGGCCTGTGTCCCTGCAGTCTGTGCGTCTGTGTGTCTGTGTGCTCTCCTTAACAGGGAGTCCTCCAGGGCTGGCGGTAGGACAGTTGCTGAGCTGGGAGTTTGATCGGTGAGGTCTGCGGGGCAGAGGGCCCAGGAGCTGGGGCGGGGGAGCAGGAGAGCAGGCAGGAATTGCACCCCATGGCCCTGGGAAGTGAGGCCAGTCCCAGAGGCCGCGGGTGATAGCGGTGCAAGTTCTGTGTCTGCCTCTGTCCTCGGAGGTCATTCTATTTGGACCTAGTCAGGGTTATACAACAGCTGAGGCAAATGCATCCAGGCTTCATAGGTGTGCTTTGGAAGAAGACTTCTGGTTCCATATGTCAGGGAAAGGCGGGGTTACACAAAGGGAGGCAGCTTTCTTCCCAGGGCTTTGCTGTGCTGAGGGACAATATGTGCCCTCCAAGAAGGCATCAGAGTCTGCCAGTTCCCACATTCGTTGGTCATGGAACCCTTTTCCTTGGAATGTCTGATGGGACTGGGGTTCTGAGGAACGCCCTCTGGGAAATGCCGGCCCAGCAGCCCTCAGCTGGGCAGCAGAACAGCTGTTTGACATCCAGGAAACTTTCTGAGCTGTGCCTGAGCCCAGGCCTTGCTATTCCTGAGACAGAAACCTGAGTCGGATGCTGCGCTGTTCATTGTCCAGGCGGGAGATTGCAAGGGTGTTTGGTCCCCGGCACCTCAAGTCATAGAACGCAAATGGTTTTCTGTTTGGGGCTGAAAACCCTGAGTAAGTGGCCGTGTGTGCACGTACTCTGTTTGGAGCTGGGCTGGTCCTCCTCACCCTTCAAAGAGGACTGCTGCTCAGACTGATTCGAGGGGCCTGGGGCCTCCCGCCTGCCCCCTTTCCCACCTCAGCCTTGTGCTCGTTCAGGCAACGAGCACTGAACCTCAGAGCCTCTGGGGTGTGAGGGAGAGCACAGAGGCATCGCGCGTGGACACTGAGTGACAGGAGAAAATTTCTCCTTGGAGAGGCCTTCGAGACCCCCAGAGAAGCAGGGTAGCCCAGTCAGTGCAGAGGGGCCAGCCTCAGGGAGGAAAAGGGCGGCAGAGCGTTGGGGCCCAGCCCCTCCCTGCGTCTCCACTGGCCGGGGCTCTGAAGGGGCCTCCCTGAGGCTCCGGGTAATGCTAGGCAGCTGCACTGCCACCTCTGCAGGAAGAAGTGCTCACCGGCCTCCATCCTCACCAGGTGAGGCCTGTCCTGGCCCTGGCTCCACCAGGCTGGAAGGGAGGCATGGGAGCCAGGCCAGGCCCAGACCCCGGGAGGCCAATGGGCAGGCAGCTGTGGCTCTCAGGGGAAGAGGGAGGGGAGTAGAGGACCCACCTGGGAACAGTGGAACAGGGTGTTTCTTTTGACTGTCTCAGAGCAGAGTTAGAAATAACAGCAGCGGCAGCAAGAACTGGAGCCGCATGGATGCCAGAGTCAGGAAGCTGTTTCTTAGGCACTGCTGTGGGCTCGGGGGCCTGGGCCCTGGACCCAGGAGAACAGGCCCTCTCCTGCGAGGCGGCTGTGCTCATTGACCTGTGTTCCTTTTCCAGGCAGTAGTGAGAGCTCAGAGTTTAGTGAAGAGATGTCTTCAGGGCTGGAAAGGTGAGTGTGGCCTCGGTGCGGCCTTCCTCCCAGGGGAGGTGCTCAGGGCCCGAGGGAGCTGCAGCAGGCTCTGGGCAGGGGCAGCCCTAGCCCACCCGCCACACTGCCGCCTCAGCGAGCTGCTCCGTGGCTCCTTGGTGGCAGGGCCGACGAGGAGGGAGGGTGGAAGAGCAGGATGGGCGTGGGGGGCCCGGCCCCCCTGCTCTGAGCAGCCCCACTCCTCATCTGGTCCGGGAGCCAGCCCAGGAGCTCCGTTGCTCGAGCAGAGCTACAGGAGGCCTGGGGGCAGATTTGGTCTGAAACGTGGGTTCTTGAAGCCAGAAGCCTGAGAGTTGGCCTAGTCTTGAGACAGGCACGTGGCTCCGCCTGGTGGGGTCCGAGAGTGTTGCATCCACATGGCTTAGGCCTCGGGCATTTATTGAACACCATCTGCTAGACACCGGTGACAGGGAAGTGGCCACAGCCGATGTGCTCCCTCGCGGCTCCCTAGGCCTAGGGTTGGGCTCCTTCGACGAGCCTGTCTGCTGCAGGCCTGGGGCCTCCGCTCAGGAATTCCTATCACGCGTGCTCCGTGGACTGGTGCTGTCCTGTGCCTGGTGCCAGACAGGCCCCAAGAAGACAGGACGCCGTGAGTGGGGTGCTCCCGCAGCTGTGGTGCAGCCAGAGGCGAAGGGCATCGTGGTGACTCAAGGTCTGAGGGGAGGCGGGGAGAAATCCAGTGGCACAGAATGTCTGGGCAAGGCAGGTTCACACCGTCCTTCGGGGCAGCCCTTCCACTGGCATCCACGGGCCTGTGTGCACAAACACACACGCGCACAGTTACACACACGGTTACACACACTCACACATGCACACTCATGTATGTGCTCGTGTACACATACTCATACACATACGCTCACATACTCACATGTGGGTGTATACACTCACACACATACAAACACACGCATGTGCCTACACAAGCAATTCCCACACATACATTTGTGAATATGCACGCACGCGCGCGCGCACACACACACACACACACACACACACACTCCTCCTCTCATGCTGAAGCTTCTGTCTCCTCAGTCCCCATGATCACAAATTGACCGGAGAGGAGGGAAAAGCTGCCCGGCAGCTCCTCCAGGGCAGAGGGGCTGTCTGGTGGTCTGTGGTCCTGGTGGAGCATGGCCGTGAGCCAGGCCCTGTCTTGGCATTTTGCACGCGTGCACTCGCCAAATCCTCAGCACTGTATGAGCCGTTCCTATCGTCCCCATCTGACACATGTGGACAGCGAGGCTCAGAGAGGCGAAGTGACCTGCCTGCTTCACTCAGCTCGTTCGGGCAGAGCTGAGCCACGTCCTCCTGACCGCCAAGCCCACCTCTTCATCACTGCTCCCACCTGGGCCAGACGGCTGCGGGGACTGTCCCTACGTTCGGGCAGTCTGTCTGTGAAACCAAGAGGGGGGTGGAAGGGGAGCCCCCGGGCCTCTTTCTCCGCGCAGCCCCATCCGGGCTGCTCTCGCCTGGGCAGCTGCCGCCGTGGCGGGGAGAAGCAGACGGGCACACGGGGCAGACTCCAGAACCCACAGCGCCAGCCGGGGCTCCTGGGACCCCCTGCGGGAGAGGGCTCTCAGGCAGGCCAGCACGTCCCCAGGCAGTGAGAGGACACCAGGTGGGAAACTCAGGCACAGACCCTGAGTATCAACCAGACCTGGACCTATTCGTTCATTCATTCATCCATTCACGCTTTGTTCATTCACTCATTTATTCATTTACTCATGCAATAGCTGTTTGTTAAGCAACTACTCCCTGCCAGATAAGCTAGTTACTGGGGGTGCAGTGGATATGGTTCCTGCTAAGTACTCATGGCTGAAACTAGCGCTACTAGGAAGGAGGATGTTGAGAGAGAATTCTTTGCCTCAGGGAGACTGTGCTGTGCACAGTTCAGTCATGAACACTGTAAGCTGCAGCATTTTATGGTGATTAGATCACTATCCATCTGAATGTCTACAGTAGGTGCTTTTTGGATGGGATCTCCTTCCAGCACTGGTCTCGCTGCTGGCTCGTTGGTGCAGGTTCCCAGCCCTGCCGCCAGCAGCCTTGGAACTGCCCTGCAGGGAGGCCATCCTATTTCTCTTTCTCTCGGGACCTAGCTCTCGGCCCAGCCCCACCTTACTGAGCAGAGCAGAAGGCCTCCTGCTTCGGGGAATGCCATGGGGCTGTGATGTCCCCTCCAGGCAAGACCCAGGCCCAGTGCAGTCCTGAGCAGCCAATGCCGGCTGTCCTTTGGCCACCAGTCTCTGTCTCCCTCCTGCACTGGCTCTCTTGTTCCCTGAGAGAATCCACTCCCACAAAAGCATGGGAGCATTCTAGGCTTTGCCGAAGACTCCATGGGAGAGTTGGAGGATTTACCTCTTGCAGCTTCAACATCTTCGTTCCATGGTGTTCTTCTTTCATGGTCAGTCACCCTCACGTTGCCCCGTGGGTCTCCTTTATTCCCAACCTTGACACACCCTATGTTCTTCACCCACTGTGTCCTCCCTTCACTCCCAGGTCTGCCCCAGGCCACACCCTCCTGCTCTATAAAGGGGAGTAGATTCTCTCTTCCCCAGAAGCCTGAGTGTCAGCTCCCTGGGCCCAGAGGCCACTGTCTCTCCAGAAGGAATCTCCTCTACTCAGAGACCCCCACCAGCTATTCTTCGCAGCTGCTGTACGAAGGCAGCTTTCTCTGTAGGCCACGCCTGCCTGAGCACACAGTGCCATGGACCCGGGATGAGGGTGTGAGAAAGGAAGAGGCTGGCCCCATAGCTCTGCAGCTTAGTGGCCGCAACCTTCCAATGACATTCCCCCAGCCCAGGTAACAAGCCCGGCCCAGGCCAGGAAGAGAAGTAGAGCCAGATACCAAGATGACAGGCAGGGAGACCTCAGGCCAGAGACTCCACACCACACACACTCCCTTGATCACCATTGATGCCACTTTCAGCAGGCCAAGAGGGGACATTTGGCCTTGTGAATTTGCCTTCCCCAAGTTTATACACATGGACAGCTCAGCCCAGTGGGCCGAAGGTGGCCCATAGGTGGCAGCCGGGGTTCAGACTGTAGGCAGGTGCCAGTGTGTCCCCAAGTGGCCAGCCTTAAAGACCACCCATGCTGGAGCCCACTGAGCTCTGTGAACCCACTGCACTGCTCTCTGGTCAGCAGCCAGGTCAGGGGTGGCCGCTGGCACCAACCCCTGTCCCTGCTAGACTGTAGAGTGAAGGTACAGGGAGCGAGGGGCTCCCTCTTCTGCTGCTCTTCACCTCCTGCCCCCACCATGTCAGCCTTGGCAAGGTCACAGGACCTGTGGGGTTGGAGAGGGGCAGCCAGACCAGGGTGGTGTTTGCTGGGCGTTCCTCAGCCCCCAGGCTGCCTGGAGATGCTGCCCTCCCTCAGGGCCCAGAGTGAGGACCGGGCAGTGGTGCTGTGAGAGCTGGGCCACTGGGCCATGGGCAAGGTGGGCTTGCTCTTCTCTGTGACTCTGCCTAGTGTCCCTGACTGCAGCTGTCCTCGCCTCCTGCCTGGGGGCCCTGGGGACAAAGGTGGAAGGAGAGCCCGCAGCACACTCCGCTTTCCTGAGGAGAGGTGGGAGGTGGCCCTGAAAGGCAATTTGATGAACAGGAAAGCAGGGACTGGGCTTGGCCAGGCTGATCTCCAGCAAAGCCAGGCTCCTGGGAAATGAAGGGCTTAGGAAGCGCGTGAGTCAGGAGTGCAGTAAACGGTAACAGGTGCTTTTTGCTGCTGGATTTGGGAAGCAAGTGTTGGCGCTAAGGTGAGAACAAGAGTATCGGCCTATAAGCTAAAATATATTTTAAATGAGGTGTTTTTCTGTTAATAAAAGAAGGACAAAGTGGATTGTAGAGACAAACGTATATGTATGTATGAAAATACAGGATATCATTCATCTTGATTATCTCTGGGTTGTAGGATTATTGAGTGAGTTTCTGTATTTTCCAAATTTTCCACAATGGGTAAGTGTTTCTTTACTACCCAGAAAAACAATGAACATATAACTTTTTAAAAAGAAGACATAATCAGAAATGACTACTGATCAGTTCTAAAGAAGCGAAATATGAAAATGTGTTGCAAAGTTCATTACAAAACACTCAGCCATCGTCCTCCCCAGTCTGACATCACCGGGCTCCGTGGAAGGGCCTTCTCGTGGGAGAGACAGGCCTGTGATATGGGTGCTGGAAAGACTGGGGCTCAGAGGAAGTCCCTCGAGTGGGAAAGGGAAGCAAGAGGGAGCGGGTGGCATGTAACCCTCTTAGATGAAGAGTGGGTCCCTCCTCCTGCCTTGCACGCGGCCACAGCAGGGATTAGTCAGAACCCACAGAGGCCGGGGAGGAGTCACGCAGGGCACAGTGGGAGCGTCTGGCAGGGTCACCTGCATCAGGTTCAGGGGTGGCGTCCAGAGGATGGGACGGTTAAGCAGAGGCCCAGGGACATTTGGTGAAGAAGACCTTAGTGAGCCCTCAAGGGGGTTCCTGGGACCTGAGGAGGCTGCCCTTGAGCTCTGAGTCAGGTAACGGGATGGGGCAGGTGGCCCAGTGCTCAGTGTCCCTATGAGTGCCATGCAGGTGAGATGGGCTCCATGGCGTTTTCTGTTTTCTCACGTCCTGAGCATACCTCCACAGTGAGAGGCGCAGCCAGCCATGCTGGGAGGGGCCCAAAGCCAGGACCACTGACCCCTCAGAGTCTTGGGCACCTCTCAGCTCCTCTGAGCCTCTGTTCCTCAGCTCTGTGGCGAGGACACACATAGTGAGTACCTAGCACATAGGTGGAACTGCCACGGCTGAGGAACTGATTTGGGGACTTTTATGAGTCTCTCTCAATAGGTACTTCTTACCAGCAAGAAAGCAACCCAGAAGTCTAAGGCTGGGTAGGGGGAAGGAAAATGTTCCCAAATGGTAGTTCAGTCATGATGGGATGGACAGACTAGAATGAAGGCAAGTTTCCACCAGTCTCTGGTGGCCTCCAGG